AGATAGATAGATAGATAGATAGATAGATAGATAGATAGATAGATAGATAGATAGATGATAGATAGATAAAAGAGATGATGAAAGGAGAGATAAGAGAGACAGAGAGATACAGTATATACACATACACGCACAAACACATATATATGCATACACATATGCATACAGTACATGCATATATGTATAACATGTATACATATACATACATCTACATATATACTCTCTCTCTCTCTCTGGCCAGGGTATTTAATAAAAAATGGAAATAATGACTCCTGGCGTGCACCTACATAGATGGGAGATCTCAAATATTATTGACTATTCTCCGTGATGCCTTTGACACTAAATTCTTCTATCCAACATTGATAATGTTCTTTGTCAGTGTTTGGGCTCTTGGGCCTTGCTGTTTAAGAGTCCGTCAGCCAAGTACTCCGACCAGTTGTTAACCTCCAATGAACGCTCCAGAGACTGTGCTGTACGTGTACATTCTAAACACACGCAGCACAGAACAGAGAATTCTGTGCAATACAGATTGTGTAACGTCAGAAAGAGAACCGTGCAGAATGATGTGACTTCTCTCCTTGTGATCTTCAGCCAGCGCGGATCGGCGCAGCGGCCTTTCCCCTGCGCGACGTCCTTCGGTCTGAGGATTTATTCGTCAGCCGTGAATTGCCGGTGAAAGAAGATGGTGTCCCAGGCCCATTAGGGCCTTTACAGGTATAGAATTTGCTTCTGACATTTTTTTTTGTGGGGGGGGGGTTGTTTCTAAGCTCCTGGGCAGCAACCCTTGTTTAATCGTTCCACGTTTTGATAAAGCGTGCAGTTTTCATGTGTCGAAAGAGCAGGCCAGGATGTCATTGCCCAATCCCTTTGTGGAGGATTTGTTCGTAAAGGTACAGGAGGGTCCCCTCACATCAGTGGTCGCCAACCAGTGGGCCAGGGACCTCTGGTGGTCTGCGAGAAAATTTGGGTGGTCCGTGGAGAAATGTCCCCCCCAAAGCAATTAATCCAGGCTGCACAGGAACACAAGGCTGCGCTGCCCACATGGCCCTGGGGAACACAAGGCTTGTGTCGCTTGCATTGCGAACAACACGAGGTAGTGAAGGGAGGGGGGAAAGGGTGGAGGGGGGAACTTGCCCCACGTGCCTGGCCTGGCCACCGGGCTGCTTCTTTCCACTTCTTTCTTCTTCTCCTTTTGGCTGCACACAAGGAAAGCAGCCAAAGTCTTTCTTTCTCTCCCCACAAACCACCAGAAACGAGTCTTTGGGACCGTGCTCCAAGAGGCTATGTCAGCATGACAAGTCTCGCAAAGACTCACAGAATTTGGGGGAGAGAAAGAAGACTTCTGTGGCTTCTGCTGTTTTCCTTGCATGAAGCCAAAAGTCTCTCTCTTAGACCCCCTGAGAACGGAGCTGGAGATGGTATCCTGCGATCCCAAATAAAGAACGATTGATCGGTAGGAAAATGGGGGTGAGGAATTTTCCTGCAGACTTTTGGGGGGATTTTCCCAGGGTCTCTGGTCTGCGGGATTTAAAATTATGAGTTTGGTGGTCCCTGAGGTCCAAAAGGTTGGCGACCCCTGCCTCACATTATCCTTTTTTAAATATATATATATATTTCATTGTATTTTCCAACAAATCCATGTTTCAGTTAAACAGTGTGTCAACTGGGTATATATATCTTGTGCCAATATTTATATTTAGTATACATTTCTTACCATGATTACATTCATATTAAAAACCACCCAACCTTATATATCTTATCATTATAACAATATTCATTGAACTTCTTACTTTATTTTCCAACCATTTATAAAATAAATCCCATATCATATTCCGCTTCTTCTTGTTCTTTAATTGCCAATGTTAATCTATTCATTTCTGCACATTCCAATATTTTCATGATCAGTTCTTCCTCTATCGGAATCTTTTCATTTTTCCAATTTTGAGCAAATACAATTCTAGTGGTTGTTTATATGTGTATGATTAAATATGTTTTTTTCTTTACTATCATTTTTTGGGTAAAATCCCCAATAAAAACATCTCAGGTTTTAAGTCTATGTGTTGTTTTATTATCTTTTTCCAACCATATGTGTACTTTTGTCCAATATCTTTTAGCTTCTTGTTACATGTCCACCACATATGGTAATAGGTTCCGGGTGTTTGGTGACATTTCCAGCATTTAGCTGACTTGTCTTTAAACATCTTTGCCAGTCTTGCCGGTTCAAAATGCCATCTATAAAACATCTTATACAAATTTTCTTTATATGCTGTTGACATTGTTAGTTTACTTTCACATTATCCAAGTGGCTTTGCCAAGTAGGCGTGGGAAGGTGAGTTGTGCTTTCACAACACAAGATATATCTACAGGAAAATGAAGTGAAAAGGATAGAAAAAGGTACAGGTAGCCCTTATTGTATATAAGTAAACATTAGTACTATTATTATTAATGACTATTTTTATTAGTATTATTATTACTACTAGTGTTTTATTATTATTTTGTATAAGTAAATTTATCCAGACAATACAAGTGTTTAATAAGCATTTATTTTATTTTCCAAATTTTTATTTTATTTTATATGTACAATAATTCCATTCCATTTCAACCGTGTTGTTGACTAGGTACATATTTCTTGTGCTTACAATTATAATTAATGCTTTGCTTACCAATATAACAACAATCACATTTTCTTGTAAATATTATCTAATACGTCTATTTTTTAACAATCTTATCTTATTGCTTATATATCCATCTTGTTCATTTTAATTTGTTTTATTTTCTAACCATTGATCCCATACCATATAATATTCCATTTCTTCGTTTTCTTTGATTACCAACATTAACTTATTCATTTTTGCACATTCAAATATTTTCTCAATTACTTTTCCGTCTGTCGGTATCTTATCACTTTTCCAATTCTGAGCAAATACAATTCTAGCTGCTGTTAATACATGTGTATGATTAAATATGTTTGTTCCTTACTGTAACCTTCCGGTATCATTCCTAATAAAAATATTTCAGGTTTCAAATCTTTGTCTTGTTTTATCGTTTTTTTCAACCATGTGTGCATTTTTGTCCAATATCTTTTAGCTTCTATACAAGACCACTACATATGGTACTATGTTCCCGGTGTTTGATGACACTTCCAGCATTTAGCTGATTTGTCTTTAAACCTTTTTGCTAATTTTGCTGGTGCAAAGTGCCATCTATAAAATATCTTATACAAATTTTCTTTATATGTTATTGATATTGTTAATTTATAGTTTCTATTCCATAATTTCTGCCATTTATCTAACTCTATAGCATATCCCAAAAAAATTGCCCATGCTATCATTGTTTCTTTAACTTCTTCTTCTTCTAGTTTAACACCTAATAAATAACCATATAATCTTTTAATCAACTTATCTTCCATTCCTGCTAATATCTTACTCAGTTCCGTCAACTCCTTGTAAACCCCTTCGGCTTTAATGTCTTTTTCATACCTTGATTGTATTTGCGTATACGAACACCAATGCATTTCCAACCCTTGTTCATTCAATTCTTGTCTTGTTTTGAGCTCAGCCTTTTCATTTAAAATGTCTTTGGGATCTGGCAATAGCTCCCATTTTACAGACATTGGGGTACATAAGCACTTATTTTATTTTACAGAAGACAAAAAATGTATAAATAAAATAAAATTAAATAAAAAAAAAAGAAGTTGGGTGGTAACAAGTGTCCATCATCCTATCGATGTAATTTTTCTACCTTCCTGTGACAGGTATCCGTGGAGCTTGCAGCTGCTAGCAAAGACGTCTCCAACCTCAAAGCGAGCAGCGTGTCCCCGAGAGCCGCCGTCGGCTCCGTCAGGGGCCAGGGCACCATTTTTCAGGACGCTGACAGGAGCCCCTGTTCCACCAGAAGCCCTCAAAGCCCCTGCAAAGCCCCAGTGAGAAGCGAAGCTCCCTTGCCTTCCGCTTTTCAGACGTCCCCCAAGGATGGGGCTCGGCCGCTGGTCCCCCGGCCCGTCTCCCGCAACCTCCTGACCCAGATGAGTGACTCCTCGGAAGAGGAAGGGATGCTGCTCCACGTCCTTCTGATGGTCTCGGAGGGGCAGGTCGCTCCTCCTCCCCACGGCGGGCCGGACAGCTCTTGCAACCTGTATTTAATCTGCAAGCTCTTCAGCACCGAAGAAGCCACGAGGTCCCCCATCGCCTGGGGGACCTCGCGACCCACCTTCCATTTTTCCCAGGCAAGTCCAAGTGGTGGGATTCCAACAATTTTTTTTTAACTACCAGTTCTGTCGGCGTGGCTTGGTGGGTGTGGCAGGGGAAGGATATTGTAAAATTCCCCCTTCCCTCCCCACCCCGCTAAACCTGCTTTCCAGCTCCGTTCTCCTATGCAGGGCAAGCAAAGGAGACCCAGCCGATCAGCTGTGGGCGTGGCTTGGGCGTGGTGTTCTGTGGGCGTGGCTTGGTGGGCGTGGCAGGGGAAGGCTATACTGCAAAATCCCCCTTCCCTCTCCACCCCCACTAACCTGCTTTCCAGCTCCATTCTCCTGGGCAGGGCAACCCAAGAAGAGCCAGCCGATCATCTGGGACTCGATGGGAGGCAGAGAAGAGATGGGGTTGGCGGGGCCAGAACAGAGGCAGGATTGGCCAGTTCTCCAAACTACTCAAAATTTCCGCTACCGGTTCTCCAGAACTGGTCAGAACCTGCTGAAGGCCACTTCTGGGCAAGTCGCAAGCAACCGCTAATGTTGTGGGGCAAAATGGAAGGGAGGCGGAGAGAGTAGCAGAAGGAAGATGGGACATAAACCACCGAGGGATAAACGGAAAAGTCATTAGCGGCTATTGTCATCAGTGGGTAATTTGGCCCAGATAGAGAGAAACTTGGGGTAAACCCCCCCCCCACACACACACACACATAACTCAGGGTTGATATGAGGGGTCCCCGTTGCTCTCTGATTGGGGTTATTTTCTCGCAGACGTTCCATGACCCAACTAGGTAACGTCATCAGTGTTAGAAGGGAGGAGGGGTTGAGGTGGAGAGGAGGAGCAGAAAGGGGAGGAGGAAGAGGACTGTGGGGTCCTTGGTGCTCTCTCAATTTGGGTGTTTTCTGGCAGACGTTTCATGACCCAACCATTGTAGGTAACATCATCAGTGTTGGAAGAAAGCGGCATTTGTGGAGGGGCAAAGAGGAGAGAAGGAAGAAAGAGGGAAAGGAAAAAGGACTGTGGGCTCCCTGATGCTCTCTGAGCTGGGTGGTTTTCTTGCGGACGTTTCATGACCCAAACTAGACTAGACTAGCATTGATGCGGTTACCTAGTCGGGTCATGAAACGTCTGCAAGAAAACCACCCAGCTCAGAGAACACCAAGGACTCCACAGTCCTAGTCGTCCTCCTCTTCCCCC